TGGAGAATGGAAAGTCACAGTTCCTGGATTTTTACACAGAAGAACTGAGTGGGGCATTTGAACACAATTTTTGCCACTGGAGGGCAGGATTTTGAACAAACCAATCTTCAAAAGTTCAAATGCTCAGGCAGTTACCCAGGTGGGGAAGTTGAAGCTCTGAATTGATCAACTCATTATCTTAAAATATTTTATCCCTAATATCTTAAATCAACACAATACCAAGCTATCTGGCAGCTAAAGACAATAACTGCTGCCACTTTCATTGCACCAATCCCAATATCTGATCAACTGTCATGATCAATCTGTGACAGAAGGAAATAATTTAGTCCTGTGTGGTAATATTTCACACCTCCAACCCTTTGAAGTCAGTTTAATTGAGAATTCAAAGTTTTTTCCCCTAAACTGACATTCATTTACAATTTCTATTTGTAAATCTTAGCAAATTTCATGACAATAAATTTTCATGAACAACTTAGACTGTGCTTGCCTTTTCATTCATGTGCTGCGTAGACCTGTGTCATGCATTCTTTGCCATCATGCCTCTGCCATTTTCCCAAAAAAGCACCCCTTTTTCTAAATTAGGGCAATATATGGAAGTTGTCTTTTGAGCCCTTCCCAATGAGAATGCACTATTTCACACTTAAATGTCTTCCAGGTGAAGAACTGTTCTTGAATTTATACCAGCTTGTGTCAGACTGACCTCAAAGTTATTAAAAACCTGTCTTGGCACCTCATTGGTGAAGAACTGGCAAGGAGGAAGTTTATCTTTACTAAATGACTGAGCAAAGGCCAGCACTGTGCCAAGTGTCTCCGTGTTTCTAAACCATCTTTCATGACGTGATCCGTCTAATAATTTTATTGCTAGATGAATTCTTCCCAGTTCTGAATCATCTGGTTCATTGGGAAGTGAATAATTCAATGAAAGAGTAGCTGTCTTTTGTAGCAATTTATCATTGCAATCATCAAATGTCTTTTCCAGCACAAGTTGTGAGTAGTTTGAGTCCGACTCCACATTCTGTCCTGAACCAATCGAAGGAAGTGGTTTGTACTTTGAAAATGATGATTGTGAATTTGGAGGCCATGGAAAAGATGCTTGCTCTCCAACAATCCGAAAGTTCTCTCTTAAAGCTACATTCTCTTTTCTTACTCCAGATCTGGGGCGTAATCGTCCTTTGGCTGACTTGGGTCGGCCTTCTAATTTTTCTGAAAAAGTCTTTGAAGGAGGTCGTGGAACAAATGGCCCATTAGTTATTGAAAAGTCGTGTTCATGTGAAATACCCAGATCCTCTGAAGTATGACGACGTAACAAACTACCTTTGACATGAGGTTGACCTTGTATCATATGTGCTCTATGTTGGGCTGCCTGTGTCTTATCATTTGTATATGCAGGTAAGGGACTGTCTACAGATCTGCTACTGGGAGGTCTGTTGCCAGTACGAGATTGAGGCCGGCTCCCATACTTCCCTAAAAAAAATTGAAAAACAAAAAGTTCCAGCTACTACATGCACTTTCCATTATGCATTGCCATGGAACAAGATCTGATTGTTAATTCTCCCATTGAGACAACTTTAGAATACCTGGCCACTTTGGTGCACCTCATTTATATGCACTGGGAGGCTTTGCAGAACAAGGCATAACACAGTATAGGCTTACTCAATGACACGTAAATGAGTGACCCTGTATTCAGCAGTTTAGTCCTCTTCTCTAGCTGCTAGACATTTCCTTGTAAATTAGTTACAAGAATTTGGCATAAAATCGAGATAACAACTTCTACCTGTAACTTTGAGTATTCATACGACATGTTTGCTTGATAATGAACGGATAACAGAGGGAGAAGTTGCATGTTGATCACTTTTGAGAGTTACAGGGTTAACAATTCTGATTGTTTTGGAGCAAACAATTTTAATCAAAGTAACATGCACTTTATTTCAAAAAGAAACAACAACAACAACAAAAAAATTGAATATTAGCTACGTATTTTAGAGGAAAATAACAAAATGCATTGACTTAATCTCACACAAAAGCGTGTCTTAAATTTCCTCTGGTGTCTGCAGCATTAAGAGTACGCTCATCGCCTTTTCTTGTATATTTTCCCTCTACAGTATTTGCACAAATCTGAAATTCGAGCCGACATCTTACGACGACTGAAAATATACATGTATTAATGGTCATGATAGCATTATTTTATGGCAGTATCTGACTAAATTTCTTGTTGAATTTCTTGATTTGTTCATCAGTGCTAAACTTGCCTTTTGTAAATAATCCCAACTGTTAGATTTCCGTGATCACTTTCTAGAAAATATTTCACAATCTTTTTTTACCTTCGCTGAAACGTCTCACTTCAGAGGGCACTGGTATTTTAGCCATCGCTGCGTCACGAATTGTCTTTCGAATTTACGCAGCGGGATTGCTGTATGAGCGCCATCTTGTTAATAAACTTTGCTAAGCAACTTCCGAACATTCCCGAAGGACTATCGACAGAAATCGCTTGTTTGCGTTTGACACAGACTCTTGATTGAACTAAGCGGTAAATATTTTTTTTGTTGGTTTATAGCTTGACTATATTCTTTAATCAGTACCAAACAACATAACCAAGCTGAATTTTCATGGAAAATTGCATCCGTAATTACTCGGAAATTACATGATCGAGAGTCGATCTTGAATCGATCCAGCAGAATCCAACAGAGTGCTCGTTTCCAATCTCCTCACGCACCGGAAGCAAGTTTCTGACCTAATTATTACATGCGAACTCCGTTCGGAGAGTCGGCAGCTCTAAACTTTCCTCGATTCTTTAACTGAAGGTCACATTTTATTTAACAATGGCCGATGAAGACTGGGCGGCCGAAGTAGACGAACAGGAGCGTGAAATCTCTGGTCAGGTAAGCTGCTCTTGCACGCGGTCAAGCTTCATCTCTGAGACACGTGTGAGAAAAATCGAATCGGTGTACGGAGATCTACGGCCTTCAAGCATGTGCTGTCACGTTTTATGACATTTTCTGTGAGCCGTGATCTGATCTAAATCAGGGAAATATGTGAAGTGTCAAGGGCCAAGTAATTGTGGGTAACCCTTTCCTTGGTAGTCTTTTTCTTCTCTTATTTCTTGGCAAATTATGACAGTATGTAGCCAGTTGTCAGCTATGTACAGACTGCAAAGCAAATTTTGCTTTCCGGAAAAAAGAGAGCTGCATTTATTTGCGGAAGTAACTGAACTCGTATTCTTGTAAAATTAGTTTGTGTCTCACGAACTTAAGACATAAATAATTATGATGAACTTACTGCCTTGTTAAAAAGGTAAGCAAAGGTCTCCCACACGGAAGGGTGCGTGTGTGTTTGTGTGTTTGTGTGTGTGTGTAGAGGCACTTGGTTCACCTAATAAACTTGAATTGCTTTACAAAAGTATGACCTATGCAATAGTATGACAGAGACATTACTTTGTTATCTAACTCTTCATTATTTTTGGAAATTTTCCAGCCTGCCAAGTAATACGTTTGTGGCTGTACCCGAGTTATAAAAATTATTCTTCACAATATTTGAGTGGATCAGCCATATTTTCTGTTCATAGAGCATAAGGAGATTGTGTGATATTTTATAAAGAAAAGACACACTTTTTTTAAGACTGCTTTTATTTTTCTCTGTTTACTTGCAGGTCAATAAATTAAAAATTGACCCTAATAATCCTGTACCAGTCGCCACACCTTCTGAACAAAAACCAGCTGCTGCACCTCAAGATGATGATGGTATAATTCACTCTATAATGCGTTAATCAATTTGAAACTTCAACATTCCCCCCATCCTACCCTGGCATTTGAAGTTTTGAAGATTGCTTTGTTCAAATTCCTATCCCAGGGACAAATACCATGTTCAAATGTCCCAACCCAGAGCCAGATATGATTGTCAATTTTTTTGTAAAAGGCAAAATCAGCAACCATGACTTTCTACTCATTGACCAAGCATTAAAACCTTGACCTTGTAGACCTTTTCTTTGAGCCATTTTCTTATGAAAGGGAACTATTTCCTTAAATACCTTCATTTAAAAAAAAATAACACTTGTTTTCTGCAGGAAATACAGGACAATTTCTGCAGGAAATACAAGGTTCAAATTCCCCACACCCCATGCACAAACTATGGTTAAATGCTTGAGGATTGCCTATGGAAGGGGTGTGGAAGCTTTGCATTGATCAGTGTTTCACCTCCACATTATCTCTACATAATTCTTTGATCCCAGTGTAAATTTTATTAAATTTTGGTGTGAGGTATCGCTGAGTATTTTTATGATTTGTGCTGTATTTTGAGAAGCCTGCAAGGCGAGTCAAAATAGATGCAACAAGTTAAAATAATCAGCAATACTTCACACCAAAAACATCTAATAAATTTTTTTATTATGACTGCTTTATACTATATCAATTTCTGTCAAGGGGGAAAATCAAAGCTAATGAAAAAGCCTTTTGTGACTTGTCGTGTGTAACACTTGTGTCAGATTACAGCTCAAAAGAACCAACTTTCTAAATAACTTTACAAGATGACCATTAGTTCCACAACCTCCTTCAAAGGCTTCTTTGCAAAAAAATTTAAGGTCCCCCCAAGTTGGCCAAAGGATTACCCCCCCAGATCTGGAGTAAGAGAGAGAATATAGCTTCAAGAGAGAAGTAATGGTATTGGGTTCATGGAGGGCAAGCATCTTCTCCACCACCTCAAAATTCAAAAGATTGTACTTGATTCATGCATTATTTGAAATGTAGTACACATATGATGCACAAATAATTTGTTGTAACATTTTCAAAGAGGTAATTTAGTTATTTTAAAAGGAGAAATTCCCTCTGTCGTGTTTCATTGGATACTCTCATCATCAGCAGATATAATGATAATATGAAGCATGTTTGCAACATTGAATTGGATTACATGAGTTTACTAGCTGTTCTAATATTTATATTTGTATGGGAGGTACAATGGCCTCGTGGTTAGTGCGCTCAACCCAGGACCAAGTGACCTGGGTTTGAGCCCTGGTCTAGGGACATTGTGTTGTGTTCTTGGGCAAGACACTTTACTCACACAGTGCCTCTCTTCACCCAGGAGAATTACATGGGTACTGGCAAATTTAATGCTGGGGATGACCCAGTGATAGACTAGCATTCCATCTAAGGGGCAGTAGAAAGTAGAAATACTCCTAATCACTCCATGCAATGGAAACTGCATTTAAGTGCTGGCCACTTGGCTTGAAAACAGACTTTGCCTTACTTTACCTCTAATATTTATGTAACAGAAACACCAGAGGCTGCTGCAGATGCTTCCCTTTTAATCAAAGTTCTGAGGAGTAAACTGGTCCAGAATAAGAATGAAGTCGAAGTGCAGAGGAATGATCCAAACTCTCCGCTACATTCAGTCAAATCATTTGAGGAGTTACCTCTGTATGTATGCCTTCGTGTTATCGCTTAATTTGAATTTTGGAGAAAACTTAATCTGGTGTAGCCACAGGGTTCCTACAGGTCCTGGAAAACCTGGAAAGTCCTAGAATTTTATTTTGACATTTTCTAGGACAGGAAAGTCACCGAAAAAGACTGCAGGTCCTGGAAAGTCTTGGAAGTTGGTTCAACTCGTGCAATAAAGTTTTCTTAAATTACCTTAGGCCATAAGGAGAATTGATTTGAATTCTTGAGATGAAAGGGTTTAAGGTGAAATTTAAGAGTCCCAGAAAAATCTGTCCGAGTCTGGAAAAGTCCTGGAAATTTGTCTTTTAAAAAGGGTGCAATCCCTGTAGACATATATCTTTTGTTTCTTTGCAAAACTCAGAAAGGGTAAAAACTAGGGACAATTTTGGGAAAACATTGCATTATGTGGGGTGTGTGAACTAAACCATAAACTGCAACATTGTAGTTTTGAGATTTGTTTGCAAGCCCTGAGTGTTGTTATGATTGGTCAGTGGGGAATGGCATTGTTTGAATCACATGAAAAAGAGTTACCCCTTTTTGAGTTTCCTAGTAAGATATAGGTGCCCCCTTTGGCAATCAATATTCATAGTCTTGAAGTTTAGTTTTAAATACCCTAACTATATTTTATCAATAATGTCAATTTTGTCATTTTTTCTGGACATATTGAATTTCAGTGGTTGTTAAAGAAGCTTTCTTTCTGAATACTCTCTAGTAGTATTTTTAGTTCTTTTAATTCTGTTAGCCTGAGGGTAGAAAACAGCTCTAGATGTTCTGAAAAATGGTTTCCTTTAGGTCTGAACAACTGCTCAAAGGAGTTTACGCTATGGGCTTCAATAAACCGTCCAAAATTCAAGAAACAGCTTTACCCATGCTCTTAGCAGACCCGTAAGTGTGATTAAAACAATTTTTGAAATAGTGTTAACTTGTGACATGTCACAGTGTGCTTGTTTCTTGTTAGTGGCATATCAAAAAGGCATTTGAAAAAAAATTGATACGTGTGTGTAGAATGACACATGGGCATGTGTGGATATGGAATTTCTCTTTAAGTGTTCAACTCTATATATCATGAGCAAGTGCTACAAGTGCATACGATATGGAGTTAAACATGAGAAGATAAATTTTCTATCTACAAGCAGCCATATATTATTTTGTTATTTTAACACCACAAGCAAGAAAAGTTTGACTTGATCAATAATGAATGCTTTGCCTTTCATTCATCAAGCTGACAGGTCTGACCTGGTGTCATCAGCTTACTGGGGGTATCAAATACACACAAAAAGTTCATTTTAATCTTACCCATCTACAGTTACAGCTATTCTTCAGGGCTGGTTAGCCATGTGAAACACAGCAGTTTATATGATAGCACAAATTTATACACACCCTGTTCAAATTATTCCTGATTGTACTTGTTAAGTCTGCTTGCAAGAGGGCAGGGTCAGATCTTCATTCTTGATTCAATCAAGACTGAAGAGCTTACCCTGCTCTCTGTGGCATAAAACACTCTGGAATCTCGGGTTAACTTCATGAAGAAAGACTCTGGGAGAGTTAACCTTTAACCCTGAGGAGACCTGACCATAATTGTTTACACCTCTGGACTGCAAACCGAAGAAGGCCAGTTAATCCTGAAGAATCAAAGCATTTATTACCCATAAAGAGTTTCAAGACTTCCTTGATCAGATAAGCAACTCATAACTTTTACATCTCAGGTCTCTTATCAACCTTCATGCATTTATTTATTGCTACAACTTTTGTTTACTCATATAGATAATTATGATGACTGCAGGATTATGTATGAATACTTTAGGGAGAAGTCACATGCTAATCACTGTGGGGGGGGTGAAGGGCTGTTGGGTGACTTGCTCGGTAACACAACTAAATAATACCAACTGTGGCTCAAAAATGGGCATTTCAAACTGCTTTGAATAATAAGAAGAACAGTAATTGACCACTCCCCCATTGGGGATTTTCATGGTCAATATAAACAAATTATGAATAAACATTGTAAGTAGTCATAGGGCAGGTTATTTAAATGAAGTCTAGCCATTGTTTAATAAAAACTGCATTCTAAACTGTAATGAATTTAGCTGAGTCTTGTATTTGAACGTTTATTTTTGCGAACAATGTCACGAGGACCAAAAGCTAGCATTGGAGGGACATCTATTTAAAGAAACCAACCCTCTTCTAGATAGAATATTAGGCCCACTGCGTGGGTAAAACTACAGTTCGGGTTAGACCTTGTGTAAATAACCACCCCATAGAGTTTAAATATCCCAACTGGTTGGAGTCAGACCAGTTAGCTTTGTATAAAGGGCAGACAAAGAGTTGAACTTGGGACAATGGAGAACAAATTCAGTGCACAGTTAAGTAGAGGGCTTGGGGTCTGGGGCCTGGACTACCAGATTACAAGTTCAATACCCAGACCAATCAGTCACACTGCCTCCTTAAAGTTTTTAAACCTGTCACAGTAGTGTACTGCAAGGGCTTGATGATTGCTTTGCATTGTTTCTCCAATTTTCTGAGGCCAAGTAACATGATAGCTCAGTCACAATCAGGAACTGGAAAAACTGCTGCCTTTGTGTTGACCATGCTAAGCAGAGTTGATGCCACAAAGAACCATCCACAGGTAGACAACCACACATTTCTATCGCACCATGCAGTGTGCGTGTCTTATTAGGGCGAGGTGATGTTGGACTGGCCCTCTCCTTCCTTTTGACTGTCAATCACCCCCTTAGTATAAATGTCTTTCTCTCTCCAGCATTCCACTGCTTTTAATAATAGGGCAGCTATAATTTTCTCCAAGAAAATATTTAACACTAATTTTAACAGGCAGATTCATTATTTCGTATTCTAGTTCTTGAGCTTCTAGTTTTCACAACTTTATATGGTCTTAAAAGACCATTATGGTCTTAAAAGAGCATTATACTTAGAGCATGCCCCCCTGGAGCATGCTCTAAGAACATGTCCCTGGACCATGCCAGAGGGGTGTGCTACCAAGCAACATGCCATGCTTGCTACACAAGTATAATTTGATTCAGTTGCCATTTTCTACTGACAACTCTGTTAAAGGATAGTTTTACTGTGCAATAGGCTGGTAAAGATTGTGTGCACCTTAGTGGATAGTTTGATATAATATAGTACATGCAAATATTTTGTGAGTTATGTAGTAGGGGAGCAAAATGTCTGCTTTTATTATATGTTAATAGATCGAATATGGGATTTGTCTTCCATTATTATTTCATTTTCTAGTTGTGAAAACTTCATGTGGTCTTATCTGAGCATCGTGCCTATCGCATAAGGTGTGCCTGAAAGTAGAAAATAACATAAAAGATCTTGATTACCAAGAAAAAAAAAGACTCTTGTGGTCTTAAAAGTTTGTTGCAGAAAAAAATCATGTCTAAAAATTGGAAAATAAATAGAAGATTGTGCAGGTCGATGCTGTTGATATTTTTGCCCTGTTTTACAATGTACTTTAATTCCATAGCATATTTTGCACATTCCATCGCCCTTATATGGTAAAATGACCTACTAGTGGAATAATGATTCACTTTATTTCCTTGTTTGTTTGTTTTTCAGGTGGTGTGTTTATCACCAACATATGAGCTGGCATTACAAACAGGCCAAGTTGCTGAAAAGATGAAACAGTTTTGTCCAGAGATCAAAATTGGTTATGCAGTAAGAGGAGAAAGGGGTGAGAAATGATGCAAAACACTGTTCATGGCTGAGAAATACTGTTTTATTGAGTTCTCAGGTTTGAAATTTTCAGTAAAAATTCTAAAATCTTAGGACAAAAGCAACATTGGCAAAGCAAATTCTTACCATACCCCTAGTATACACTCAAACTTCCTTGAGTTGCTAACTTGAACAAGATCTGATTTCCCTTGTGTTTGACCCCATTTTTCTACTTATTTTTAATATTGGCTTGAGCTTGGACAACTCAAACTCGCTGTCAACTTGAACTTATTTTACTCTCCCTTGGTTCAAGTTTACCTTCAAACCTAGAACTCTGGGAAAATATTATCAGTCAATGATTCCCAAAATGTCAGAACATAGTTGATTGACATGTCCTTTTATTGATTGTGATTGATAAGAACATTTCTGCTAAACTACCCAAACAAAAAATGCATCTTAAAAAGCTTCTTTGAGACAAACTCAATGTACAGAAATGATTGCTTATTTTGCAAGAATGGTAAAAACATTCCCTATTAATTATTAACAGGGTAATTGAAATTCAACACCAATGGTACTAACTTAAAGCATTTTTCCCTCTCTCTTGTGGGGTTTTACTTTTAATGTGAAAAGAACAGCACTTTCTTCACTTCATTGTAGTAATGGAACTATCCTTTTATTTTCAGTATCTAGAAGCCAAAAAGTAACAGATCACATAATATTCGGAACACCGGGCACCTTACTTGACTGGATTTTAAGACACAAAGTCTTGCAACCAGAGAAAATCAAGATGTTTGTGTTAGATGAAGCTGATGTCATGATAGCTTTACAGGGACACCAGGACCAGTCAATTAGAATACACAAGTGAGTTGAAAGCTTTCCACTTGAGTTGAATAAGCATGTCGAGTCTGCAGAATAAATTGACTTGTGAAGCTGCCAGAACTTATCATAGTTGCTGTAACTTGAAGTAACTTTTACCCTTTACTTCCCAGAAGTGATTAACAGATAACTTCTCTATAATATCCCAACATTATCCAGCAAAAAAAGGTAATGAGAATTCTCAAACTTATCAGGTAGAAGTTGATATCATGATGTAACACCAAATTCTCCGAACTAATTTACAAGGAAATGTGTAGCAGCTGGAGGGGAAAATTAAAAATCAGATCTTGGGAGTTTTGTAGGTTCCAAATGAACATTTCATGATTTTAACATGATGCAACTCTTAGTTGTTACCAGGCTGAGCGAGTGATCTTGTTCGGCCATGTGATTGATGAATTTTGTTCTGAAGATTGTGAATGTGAATCATTTTCATCCTATTGATTTCGATGAACATTTATCGGTTATTTTGAGAAGAAACCCTCATATTGTTTGTAAGTGTTCAACATTTCGATTTATTTGAGCTTTGTATACTTTCATTTTGCTTTATTTTGCTTTGGGCTTGCAAGTTTCGAATGCATAATTCTACTTTCAGAAACATATTTGTATGCTGTTTATTTGATGAACCTGGATTAAAAGACTCTGAAATTAACCGATAAATTCAGTGGTAAAAGTTTAAGGTTTATTATTGTTACCCCCTCTGGAATGATGGCTCGTTCAGCATTCAATCAGGTTTCCTTAACAGTTGGGAGATGTAGTGGCTGCTGGACTTTTGGGTCGAGAGGTGTGAGATTTTGCTTGATTAAGGAATTAAGTGATATTCCTTTATTTCCAAGGAATTTACCTAAAGATTGTCAAATGCTGCTTTTTTCTGCTACATATGATGATGAGGTTATGAAGTTTGCAGAGTCTGTTGTACCCAATCCACTGGTAATTCGACTTCGTCGTGAAGAGGAGAGCTTGGACAACATTAAACAGTACTATGTGGTGTGTCGCAGCCAGGAGGAGAAGTTCCAGGCCCTTTCAAACATGTATGGAGTGGTTTCGATAGGACAGTGTATTGTGTTCTGTCAGGTAAGTATGGTTAACACTGCCAGATCTTATCCTCTCTTCTAGAACTGTGTTTACCAATCAATGACTCTGTATTATTAAAGGCAACAAGTTTCCATCCCTCCCTGTGTGACCTAAAATGGGTACCACTGTATTTGCTGCTCAGTAGGTTATGGCTTTTGTTGACAGTGTGCACAGTTGAGCTATTTTATATTAATCAGTTTGCTGCCCTTCTGGACCAAAAGCCTTGGATGGAGTTTGAACTTTGGCAAAGCACAGTGTACATGTGGAAACTGTGATTCCAGGCCTTGACGTGTTGTCGGATTATATTGTATTAGATGCATTTCCATGATGTTGATATTCTCAACTCACACACTTTTTGTGCGAAACAGGGTAGCAAATACAATAGATTTTGTCTAGAGACAGGGAAAGGGTCTGGAGGCCTTGAGGCATGTTATCCTTGAAATTCCAAGGGTATCCAGGGGCAGGTTCTTTGCCTGAGTTTGAGTTCAGGTTTGAAGTGTGCCACTCAGGCTGCACTTGATAAATTTTTACATTACTCCCTTGACCCCTTAGATTGACTGGCATCTAATTTCTCCTTACAAAATCACTCAGGAGTCAAACATTAAAATATTTAACATTACGGGTATGCAGATGTCATTAAGATAGTTTGCAGCATGTCATTAAGATAGTTCTTTTTATCTCAAAGGGCTGGACACTAACTTTTCAACTTACTAGCCAAGTGGGGGCTAGTGACATCTTAGATGTTATGACAATTTCAGTTTGTTTACTTGCCAAACTGGCTTGTGGAAATAAACAACCACTAGCCAAAACTGAATTTCTACTAGTCTGTGGCTAGTGGGCTACCGTTAGTGTCAAGCCGTGGTCTCAATTGCATGGAGTATTTATGGTATGTAGCAGAGAGTGTGTGGTGAACAGTGTGGAAAATATACGTACTGAGGTAGAGTGTAAAGAGTTAACCCTCAAACCCCAGAGAGTGAATAGTATCCTACAATATCACCCCTGAATCACACATTAAGGTCAACGAAATAAAAAAAATAACCTCCAACTAAACAAGTTCTTGATTCTTAAATGAATTCTCCTTGTTGGCAACTTAGGAAATGACTAGAGAACAGTATGGAGAATGTGCACACCGATATTAGGGTGTGAAGGGTTTTAAAAGAGATTTTGTTGTTTCAGACCCGCAAGGCAGCCTCATGGCTGTCACAGAAAATGAGCCTGGATGGACATGCAGTGGCACTGCTATCCGGTGAGATAACGGTGGAGCAGAGGATTGCAGTTTTGAACAGATTCCGTGATGGCAAAGAAAAGTTACTTATTACAACAAATGTCTGTGCAAGAGGCATAGATGTTGAGCAGGTACAGAACTACATGTAGCTCATGTATGCAAGACACTTAAACTGGTAGTGGGTGTGGTAGAGGGGGTCCTGTCTTTCTGTTATGAAGCACAGGTCTTTTTTACGTTTATCACTATTTAGGTGTTAGGCTACAGATGACTCGTTTACCATTCAGGTAATTCAGTGAATGTAAGAATAGTAAATAGTTGTCATCGTCCCCCTCCCAAAAAAAATCAACTTCCTACATCCCAGTCAGGAGTACTTTTCAGCTCAGGGGAGGTCGTAGGGTGCTCTGAGTCCCTGTCCAGAAAAATTAATGATTTGTTAGAGATACAACCTAGTGTGTTCCCAAACATCAGTAAGATTCTTGTGGAGGACTAACAGATAATCTTCATTTGTACTCACATTCACATTTATACTTGCTCTAAGCAAAAAAGTTACAAAATTGAAAGAAATTATTAGAAAAAAATTGGAGTAACCATGGGGGCTAGCAGAGCCAGGCAGCTGACTCCTGGAAAACCTTCCCCCTGCCTGGAAATCAACACCATCAACACCCTAATGCAGAGAAATTAATTTGTAAGAGTAAAGGAAAGGTTAGCACTGGCCAGTACAATTGCAGGGGGCAGGGCAGTCTGTGGGGTGGGGTGGGTCAGCCAAAAGCTGGTGCCACCAATGCATGTGGTTTATTCTTGCATGAAATTGAGGGAAAGAGGCACCTTTCTTGTAAGCTGTCAGTTGAATGATAATGAATAAAGGCTGATAGTTTCTAAAGAAACTGTTTGGCGCTGCGTCGGTGGGGGTAACAAAATAATTTGAATATATCAACAAAGTTGAAATGGTAAATTGGCCACCGTTACGGTTATAAAAGCTGACATTTCGATCGTTAGCCCTTCGTCGGACGAAGGGCTAACACTCGCAACGTCAGCTTTTATAACCGTAACGGTGGCCAATTTACCATTTCAACTTTGTTGATATATTCAAATTATTTAGTTGAATGATAAGATTTGCATTTTTTTGCAGGTGACAGTTGTGGTTAACTATGACATGCCAGTTGAGCCCACAGGCAAACCAGATTTTGAAACATACCTACACAGGATTGGTCGGACAGGCAGGTTTGGCAAGAGTGGCATTGCAGTGAATTTTATTGATGGTCGGCGCTCTATGGCAACCATGAAAAAAATCGAGGAACATTTTGGAAGAAAAATAACACTTCTTGAGACCGATGATGTGGATGCATTGGAAAAACTTGCGTAACAGGAAATTACAAAAGACTTGTTAGTTTTCAGAGGCACTTGAAAAATTCTCCATCAAAAGATACTTTGCCCCTTTGGTAGGCGTAGTCTTCAGTTTGGTTTGTTCATATTTCGAACCCAATAAATTTCAAGGTTTGTTTGCTCTCTTAGCCAATCAAATCACAAGATTTACACTTGTGGTTACTAGTGTTTTGATTGGCTCAGAACCTTGGTAAACCAAAAGATAAGTGTTGTTGCTTCTTAGCCCTTCAACTTCCAGAAGCAATTAACACATAACTTCTCCCTATAATATCCACACATTATCCAGCAAACAGGTAAAGAGAAAACTCAAACTAACCAAATTCGTAGAACCAATTTACCAGAAAATGTGTAGCAGCTAGAGGGGGAATTAACAATTTGATTTTGGGAGTGAGAGCATTGCAATAGAGCATATATTACATTTTCTTTAAATGCTGTTCACTTTTGATTTAGTGTTGAGAGAACTTTGGATGTAAAGGTTGATAAAAATAGTCAAAAGCCAAGGGCTTACATGAAGGCAACCTGTTTTTGTAGGATTTCCATTGTTTAGGCAGTGGAACTTTTACTCTTAAAAACTCATTTTATTTCTCCTTACTGTCTTTCATACAATTGTCATGTCATTAGTTATGAGACTTAAATATGCGATCAACTAATAATCCCCTAATTGATGTATTTATTCTCATCACTTGTCTGCTTGATAATATATTGTAGGGGGAAATTCTGTTTCGGTCACTTGCAAGAAAAAGGGTTAAAAGCAGGACTTTACTGGTTTGGACAGTCTGGATTTTGAAAATCAATAGCTTCTTGGTGTTCTAACAGCTTCAGCAGTTTTTACTTTGTTGTTGTTCCTGTCTTTTTTGCATCCAAAGTATGAAAATATAGAAAAAACTACTGTTGGAAATGTCATGTATGAGAAACCACCATTCAAAATTAAAAGAATACCTTCGTAATAGCTTCAAATATATTTATTTTTAAACTGAACAATTTTCCTCAGAACGTATATTCATAGCAACTAAACTATAGATAGACTTCATTTAATTTCAAAACTATAAATTACTATTTTACACCTTGAAATTGAATTTAAACTAATCCCATATTTCACTTTTGACAAGTGAGAGATTTTTTCGGACAGCCAATTTACGGCACAGCGATGAAGTAGATTGTATAAAGCATTGCTTTATTGGACGAAAGTATTCGCGAAGTTTTGTTCCCTAGCATGTATCTTTGGAAATTAAAAAAGTGTGATCCCATTTAAGAGTAGCTTGCGGCACAAGGTTTTTTTCCCCTTTTTTTTTGTTTTTTGTTTTTGTTTTTTGCGTTTAACGAGCGAGTAAAAGGAGGCGCAGAGGGAGCGCGAATGCCCTTTTCTTTGGTTTTCTTTTTCGCTCTTCGCTCGTGTCACTCGCCCTTTGCGCTCTCCTCGTATTTGCTTCGCGCTGGCCACCGCTTGCCTGAAACACACAAAAATGACCTCTGTTCCGCAGGCTAAGTCAATGAACGAATACCTAAAGGTTCAGGTCTTGGTACAAGGGTAATCCTCAAGCAATTTTTGGAGTCGAGGTATCCAGTCTCTCCCGCGTTACTTGTGTTTCCGCAATGACTGCAGACTGCCTAATAGTTTTAGGCGTTTTTCAGGCGTGCGCAGAGCAGGCGCGTGCCGATTGCGAGGAAATTGAGAGGGGTGAAACACCCTAAAAGGGGAGCATAAAAACCATAACTGTGTTAAATGTTGCACGCTCCTCTTCTCGCGCATGAACCGCCCTTCGCGCCCGCCTCGCGCTTCCTTTGGTTCGCCAAAAAAAAAAAAAAAAAAAAAAAAAAAAAAAACCAGAAGAAAACGCCTGTATACCAACCTGCTTGATGGTATAAGAGTGACTGTCTTCTGACCCTGGTGGTATTTACGGATTTGAAATAATCTAAACAACTTCTGTGGGATAAGCTTAAGAGTTAAAAAAGTCTTGTCGAGTGGTACAGTCCCCGCAGTAGCCCAACTCCAGTCAGTTTCTTGACATTTCAAAACGAGCTCATAAATTTCTCTCTCGTNAAATATGAACTAAAATATTCAGGACAATGACCTTGGCTAACTTTATGTAGCATACAAAGTTTTCTAACGCGTACAATGTCATCAATAGGTAACCAGCCTAATTTATTAAAAAGTTCAACGGAACTATCGTTGATGGTGGCGTCCAAAATTAATCTCCCGCATCGTTTTTGTACTTGTAACAACCTTTGAAGGTTTTCAACCGAACAATTACCCCAAACAGTACAATAGTACTCAAGAATTGGCTTAATGAGAGCATTATATAACATTTTTCTACATTCAATAGTTGAATACACTTTTGCCCTCTTGAGGAGAAATATCCTAGAGTTCAACTTTTTTGTAAGATAATTAACTTGTAGGTCCCAGGAAAGATAGGGATCAATCACAACACCGAGAAGTATTTTTCCAGCTGATTCCTCAAGTCTTACATTGTCCAAGAAAAGCTCCAACGTAGTTATTTCACTGTGATAAAGTTTTTTCGCAGTACCAATAAGTAAGTACTTAGTCTTTTTACTATTAGGTTGCATTTCATTACGTTTGCATTTTATTATTATTGCATTACGTTATTATTGCATTATTATTGCATTACATTATTATTGCATTATTATTGCATTTTATTTATTATTGCATTACGTTTGCATTTCATTACGTTTGCATTTTATTACGTTTTAAGCCAGCTATTCGCTTTACTTTACTTTAGAAGAGTTTGATAATGAATATGGCTACTTAACTTGACGTCTTTGGAACAAATGCTTGGTGACTTTAGACCGATCAATTTTCATGACCTCTGAGAGTGAAAATTTATCAACCATGGTTCGTACAACTTCAGACAAACAAAATTCGAGGACTTTTCAAGGACAAAAAATGGTTTTCAAGGACTACGTTTTATTCATAAATCTAAACCATTTATGATTGAATACACATTTGCCCATCGCTCAATTAAATTGAAAACAAAGGGAAATGAAAAATTCATCGACCAAAACATAGCCAAACCACTACATGTTTACGTTCTCCCTTAAAACAAAAGCACTTGGCGGACTTCCCCACATCGGAGGCCTTGCGCATAAAATTGAGGCACGCATCCAACTTTGCTTCATGTACCACTCACGTTTTATACCGACCATTTTCGCTTTTTGGTAGTTACTAGTGGACAAATTTTCCATAGCAAAATCGTTTAATTTATCAGAAAAGCGATAAGGCGCAAAGAAGTTGCTAAATTTCAAGGACTTTTCATGACCTACTAAAGAAATCAAGTACTTTTCAAGGACTTGACCAAATTCAAGGACTTTTCAAGACGACCGTCAAAATTCAAGACCTTTTCAAGATTGTACGTACCATGATTAACGGTTCAAGAACTCAAATCTCACTCGACAACTAAGAGTAAAATGCCAAGATCATCTTAAGGATGATATGCCATGTAACTATCATAGGGTATCCTCATGTTACGGACCTTCAGTAGTAATAAAGATCCAGGTCTGATTCCTAATGAACGGAGCGTAGCTGCATTGTCAGTGAGAGGGATGCCATTTAAGGTGAGGTGCTGGTCTATCGGCATCACCGAGAAACTCTTCATCAACTGTAAAAATAAAAACTTGTTTCAAGTATATAGCTTGATTAATTAAGAATCGTTTTTGGAGCGCTTCGATTGAGTCTCCGCCAAAATCTCATCGGTATGGTAGAGAGAAGTGATCGGGGAGGGGGGAATGCTTCTTCGAAAGATGCTAATGGAAATGTGCCGATGGAGGGAGTCACATTTTGACGACTGGATTGACATTTTCAATACAGTTACCAGAATGGGGTAACACTTTGCCGGTGTCACAAGGGATTTGGACCCCCGGTCTAAATCCGCCGGCGGATATGTACCCCCTTCGCAGATTGCGATCCCGTACCAAACTTTTCTTTTAAGCATCATGTGTATGATATAACCCCAACCCTAGACCTTAACCCTTACCGCTTTTGCTCGGGAACATAAAGGATGGTGTTTTCACTCAGTTTTGTTAGGGGTCCAAATCCGCTAGGACACCGGGATTTTGGGGAAAAGAAAATCCTGGTAAGAAGGGATTTAAAAATGGTTACATTTTCTTATAGGGGATCAAGATGGGGTCTATAATTGGCCACAGAATCGACTACGACAGGTTAGGAGTTCTGGGAGGCCATGAGCACTTGACACAAGTACCTCTCCCTCCCCCCCCTCCAGATATGGTATAATAAATTTGCTTCACCTGTACTTTGACATCCCGTAAGGTCTCAGATGATCCAACAGTGAGCGAGACTTCTCCACGTTGTTTACGATGCCTGCGATGAAAGAAATGATGAAAAGTCAAAGAAAAGAAACACAGAAAGCACAAAACTAAACAGATATACCTGGAACTTCTTCGTGCCTTGGGGTCGCGGTTAAGTTTTTGTTTCTTGCTATCCGGTGGAGACTGCAAATAGAGAGAGGACTACTGAGGAATGCACGTGATATTCACACGCTCCAGGGAACTCATGTTCACACAGCCTACGTGTAGCCGTACCCTTCCCACCCCCCCCCCAACTCAGGAGAAGAGTGACGTCACAGAACAAGATTTGTTTTAGGTTTTCGTAAACGTTCGCTCCCTTCCGTTTCTCCTCGGGAGGGGGGGAGGGGTACGGCTACACGAAGGCTAATGCTCCCAGCACCCTTTCCCTTCTTCAAAACCACTGAATCTCACAGAAATTAGGTGCCGCATAGAAAGCCCAAACTTCTCATATGGATATGATCTAATCTGGGAGGAGTATAGTCTAAAATGTCCAACGGATCGAAAATGAGAATTTTCCAAACCTGGAAATCTGGGTCGAAAGAATAACCGTCTTTGCTGGAAGTACTCTGTCAAACAGCAACAACACAAGATAAATTAAAACAAACTTTCCTGGTGATGATGATGATGATGATGATGATGATGATGATGATGATGATGATGATGATGATGATGATGATGTGGCATTTACATAGCGAATTATCCATACTAATGTTTTATACCTTCTACAACGCTTTGCAGGGTACTTCTGCCCTACTACATTTAGCATTCTACAATTTCCTGAAAGCAATCTTGCAAGTGCCCCCAATTTTGGTAACGAGGCCACACCACAACACCAGGAGATATGTTCCCTACTCGAGAAGTGCGTGGGTTCTCTAACGTCCCCTACCAACCAGTGTGGGGAAGATGCAGGAGACGGAGCCAACGGTTTGTTGTCCTTATTCGAAAAGACTAGAACGGCTTACCATTTGAAGATTTCACAGCAAAGGCACCACATTCTCCTCAGTTATTTAAGACGATGGGTGTTGGTCTGGTCTAGTGCTTGAACCTTTGACCTCCTGACAGTCTGGCACTCTACAACCGCAACCCTGATCTTCCCAGGAATTAGTAAGTCTCTCCTAGATGAGAAGCCCCTTAAAGCTCCACCCTCCCTCCCCCCACAAAAAAGGTAGAATTCTTACACTGTTTAATACTTGCTCAACGTCCTTCTCACTGTGATCCTTCGTGATTTTGCGCACGAAGATTGTGCCATAGCGATAGTTTTCAACGTGCAGAGCTCTCTCCTGTATGCGCGCAAAGCAACAATCTGTGCACAACTCTGAAATGCAAGTTGGAGAAGAGTGTGTCAACTGTTCATCTTTTTGGTTACTGAATGACTTGATGTAGTCACGCGGTGACAAACCGCACGACGTGTTCTTCGTTCCTACGTTCGTAGTGGTTAGGAGGCTTAAGTAACAAACACATCGGTCAAATGTCAGGCATGTGCGAACGGATCAATTCTGCACGGCCAGCCAAATTAGCCAGGCAAAATTTCAAAGGAAAACATAAGAATCTGTTGCCATGAAAAATAAGCGAAAGAAAATTGAAAAGTTCACAGAAACCTGTAAAGGAAACACGAGAAAGGAAAAGGAAAGCTCGAGACAGTTCGAACACTAGGCTTATTAAAGTTCAGGTATCCTGTTGACTATCCATTCTGTTTTAATCTTTACCGAAAAAGTTAGACGCTTTCAAAACACCGTGACTTACTGGCTTGTGTGGTTGTTTGTAACTCGTGTGAGACAACCTTGGTTCGTGTAGCCTGAAAGCACGCTACCTGGGTATGACCCTAGAATTAGAACGTTCGGACATGCGCGGACATTTAACCGCTGTGTTGGCTTTGGTGCGGTTACTAGCCGCTGTTCAGGAAATAAGCCCGCACTCCTCCCGAGGATCGAAAACCGACCTCCAGAAAAGAAAACTATAGAATCAAATGCAATATACTAAAAAACACTTTTGAAGTATCTTACTTGTTTCGAAATACATGTCACATACAAATACGTAAACTACCTGCTTTACAAGTTCCTAATAATATACCTCCAATTAGCCTATGGTTAAATGTAACAAAATAGAGACTTGCCAGGGTTAGTCGCCAGTTCCCTCACTTCTTCTTCAGTCACCGTTTTCCTGACGGTGATCACGTGATCGTGCTGATAGGTTTGAGTGAGCGCGTTCCACTCGTGTTCCCAAACATAGTGCAACCTGTACCAAGGGGGGATGGGCGATGAGACAGCGTTACACTTTACAATAAACTGCCATGATATCGTTCATACCTTGGTGACACGCGCAAACCAAAAGATTGCTTTCTTAGCGTAAGCAACAGGAAAAGCTTCACCATTTCTTTCTAGAGACAACTTACATTTCGCTCGCACCATCCACGTCATCTTCGCAGCCAGGATTGAAGAGGAACTTCTCATGGGGGCAAAGCAAAGGTGCATTAATAATTCTTCCAGGCGGAATATTCCTTATGGGGTACCTAATAAACATAAATTATTTTTATAGATCAGCAATTCGTTTCAAATAGTTTCTAGATCATGAGAGAACTCTTTGATGTCGGCAAACCTGTCTGCGTGAATGCATACGGCACACATTCCATCGGGTGGTCGCGAGAAATGTTGTGACTGTTTATATTTGACTTAAGAGTAATTTTGTTACATCTGCAGTAAAAGGATACCGATCTGTTTTAGCCCGGGAGCAAGCCTCGTCGCTGCGGAACGTTTCTTCACCTGCGAAGAAGTTTAAGGCCTGGCGCAAAGCGAGGCGGTAAGAGGTATGCAGGGATCTGGCACTAATAATGAATTATCACCGCTGCACCTTTCGAGACAAGAAACACTCGTATTGTAGAGCTAATGATGAAGACCTGTTCGCAAGCTAGATCTGATTTCCTTCTCGGATTCTCGCGCCAGTCAATCTGTGAAATATGTGTCATGTTATCTTAATGGCTGAGTGCCACCGTTGAAGTGTTTATTTACTTACTCTGTGACTTTTTACCTTAAGAACTGCCTCCATCGATCGATAAAATCTTTTGATACCGCACAGGCAACGAACGAATCCTAATGGAAAGAGGGGACGGTATTCTTCAGAGCTAGTTTTAGGACATACAAGCATACACTGCAACCATGGTAGACTACGAGCAATCCTCCCTTTTCGGCAAAGTCCGTCGCGTGAGAAAAAACTTTTCAGCTATAATAATATACATGAAAAAATTTCTCAGTTCTGATTGGTTAAGATGAATGCAGTTTTCAGTTAATTCAGTAGAGAAGAGAGTTAATTCAGCGCAAAGAAAGAAACAAACCAGACATTCTGATTGGTCAGAATAATTGGTCAAGGTCAATGTCACTTGCAGGGTTTTGAATAAATTATTTTTGCACGTGATGCGCAAGCTTTTCTTCTGCGTAGTTATGAGAAGCTACCTCGTATTTTTTCATGTATATTATTAATAGATAATCACATGATTTCGAGTGCAATTTGGAATAAATAAGCACGAGTAGATTATTTCAAAGACTAACAAAATTGCATGAGCCCGTAGGGCGAGTGCAATTTGTGGTCTTTGAAAAAATTTACATGTGCTTATTTATTCCAAACTGCACGAAAAAATCATGTGATTACCTATACAAAAAAAAAAAATCGATGTTCGCGCGCCGAGCGCAACTCTGGGAGAAGGCGCACAAAAAGTGGGGACTTCACACTAAGTCAGAGAGTTTAACCTCTGCTTGGCACCATTCAATGTAGACTTCCGCGCGACATCAATCCTTTTTCGCTCATTTAATTATTTTTTTTTTTTTAATAAAGCGCACAACAGACCACGCCGAAAAGGAGGGACTGCTTGTAGTCGACAAATACGGCAAACTCTCTCACTACGAAATAGGGAATGATTCCATTTCTTTTCAAAAATTTTCAAGGATACAACCAATCGAGAGACGGGAGTCTGTGTCTGTCAGGACGACATAGGCATTTGGTTCTTTTCCGCCATGTTTTCGCACCTTTATTTCGGCCATAAAACTCATCGTGGGATTGTCGCAGCAGCGAAGCTCCTTTTTTTTTTTACAATGAGTTCGGCTTCGAATTGACAAATGCCAATAAAGGCTTTAGCAGTGAGTGACCAGCATCAAATTTTCTCCTTACAAATATCACCTCTTTAACAAACATTAAAATCACGAGAATGCCGGAAGGAAATGATCACCAACTAAAGAAGCTCTTCATTCTGAAACAAATTCTCACTGTTAGTACCATGGGAAATGTTTAGATAATAGTATGGTGTTAGGGTGTAAAATCCTTCAGACTCACGCAGTTATCAAACGACGGCCGGTTCCTGTCGAGATACAATTGACTCATAGCAGTTCTCTGCTCTGAAGCAAGTAGTTTGTGAAGCTCATTCTTCTGACGCTCTTCTTCATCATCTGCCTGCGCAGGAAAACAGAAGAAAAATTAAAAGGAAAAAGAGACATTTGTATGTTGAAATGTCATATTTCAGCTTGACTTCCGTCGTTTACTCGACTTATCGAGAAGTTACTTCGGTTATGAGCACAACTCATTTCCCGACCAGCGGCTGGTAATCGAGCCTATGTCACGTTACACTGCGTGACAAACGTGATAACTACGAGTAGGGATTTACAGAGAGTAGATCACAGCCTGCGAAGCAAGCCCTGGGGGAGAGGAGGGAGGATTGGGAAGCAAGCCCTGGAGGAGAGGAGGGGAATTGGGGCAAGGGGAGAGTAATTCCCCACTTCCCCTCCTCTCCTCCAGGGCATGCTTCCCAATCCCCCCTCCTCTCCCCCAGAGCTTGCTTCGCAGGCTAAGTAGATCAGAGCCACTATGAACCATAGCCAACCGGAACTTTGGTCACATACCTGGCAAGCTCTGCACGCTGAATGAGCAGCTGGGAATTCAGACGAGGAAGGAAAGTAATATTTCAACCTCTGCCACACCACATCTGGTACAAGGCGTCGACACGATTCGTCAGAGGAGAGACCACCTGTCAAATAGGTTGAAACCAAAAATAGCTGAAGTTGATCGTTTTGGTAACAGAGATAAATCACTGTCATACAAGCGTGACATAACTGTATGCAGGGTTCGTACGCTTTTTCAGGCCAAAGATTCAAGGACTTTTCAAGGACTTTCCAGGACCCTACTTAGAAATTTCAAGGACTTTTTGTAATGACAATTTTACCTCAAAACCAAGAAAAATGTTTCTGTTAACATCTATGTTTTGGGTTTACCGATGGTGCAAAACAAAAGCAGATATTTTTCGATGTTGTTCAATAAAAAAATCAAGGACTTTCAAGGACCCAAAACAAAATTCAAGTACTTTCAAGGCCTTGAAATCGGCCTCCTGAAATTCAAGGGTTTTCAAGTGTTTTCAAGACGCGTACGAACCCTGTGTATGGTAATGACACATTAGCATGGTAACAATTATAGTGTGACATGACTCTTGCTTCATATATTTCATTGTATCTCATTTATCACTTTCACGGGTTTATTACGAATCAACTTAACGGCCTGCTCCCAGTTGGCTTGTTAGCTCAATTAGTAGAGCGCTGCACTAGTATCGCAGAGGTCAGTGGTTTGAATCCCGTACAGGCCTGATTTTTTTCAGGTCTGATTTTCGCTATTGCTTTAATAGCGCTCTCTACTGCGAGGATCATGCATCATACGTATCTACAACCGCAGTTCAAAATATATGAACTTCATATATTCATTGTAAGTGTGACATCAGTAGGCTTGCACATCCGATAAACCCTTTGAGCAGCTGTTATGTCGGCTGATAATGTTCGAGGATGAGAGATTGTCCGAAAAAATGAATATTTGGCTGGGAACAAAACTTCGAGGGCAAATAAGAAATTTTGAGGACAATCTCTCTATTTTGTAACCCTGTCGTTAGTTTTCACATCGCGTAAAAACCGCTCGTAAAAAAAAAAGTGTTGATCTGAAGGCGGATGCCTAATTGCGACCCGCTTTTTAATATCACTACCTCTGGACACTACAGAACAAGGTTGTTTTCTTCCGCGTAAAAAACTATAAAGCTGAAAAGATGATTTCTCGAGCTGGCCTTTTTCTGCCGGCTTTGTTTCTTGAAAAATACTCGACGTAGAAGGGGATTAATACGTGATAACTGTCTGGCGATTTTTTACCACGTGACGTTAGGTAGCCAATAAAATCGCGTGACAGTTAATGTTTGGGTTATAATTATTTGTATTTCCTCACCGTGTTCACAAAGCAAATCTTCATTAAATTTAGAATTTGTTTCGTCCTCCTCCTCCTCCTCCTCCTCAGCGGTGTGCTGTAGATCCCTGTCCAACTTCTGTTGTTTTCCCCCGTCTTCTGTCATGCTTGCATCACTAGTTTCATTCTCTTTGGCCTTATCGTAGTCATCGTCTTCTGTTTCGTGATTGGCTGTAACTCGACAGCTGTCCATCAAACTTTGTCGTGTCTCTTCTTCGCAATTTGCCAAAGCTTTCCATCGAAGAAGCGAGCGCCGACCAACCCAAAAAAAATTTGCACTGAAAATGAAAGGAAGAAAATTGAAGCTTAATGGAGAAACGCCAAGAAAATTATAGCGATACTTCGAAAACGAGAGGTAACATAAAGTGGCAATGGGTCAGTGCACTTAACTACGAAATTTTGTCAAGAAACAATAATTTTTTATTACCGGAGGGTGGGAGAATTGTGGAGGATTTGGGGGAGATCGCACGGTTTTCAGGGGGAACGGAGCAGGGATCAGCTGTCGCTAGAAAGGCGCAGCTATAGAAAATTTACTGCTAGTTAACTACCATTGAGGGGGAGATCTTACGAATATTATAGAGCCTAGGGAGGATCAGGTAAATTTTGTCGTGACGCAACCAAACTCTTCCCACTAACCCACCACTCCTTCCCGGCGATCAATAAAGATCGGTCCCTGATCGCGACTGAGGCAAAATTATCCGACGCATATTAATGCGGTGTGCACCGGTAACGTGTATTTTCTAGGAGTTCTTATCAGTTACCGGCCCTTAAAATTGATTTAGTTCTACTATGTTGCATAGAAAGTGGAAGAAGTTACCTGTTGGATTGCTGAGACTTCAAAGCATCTGACACAAACTTGTAGTCATCAGTCAGCCGAGTTTCGAATCGTATTCTTCTACACTGCTCTTTTACACATTTGATACACAGAGAATCACTGGATGAAGACAAATAAACATGAAGGTGGTGAAACTGATTTCGTCGCACACTCAATTGCAAAATGTAAATTTTGCAATCTGAAATTCCATTGGTTTTCCTTTCCTTCGCGCAACGATTGGTTTAGGAAACTCGTGCCACCATTTCGACCAATCAGATTCAACTCGGGCGCTCGCGTTTTGCCGCGCCTCGCGTATTGAGTTGTTTTTAGTGCGAGTCCTCATTGGTTCCTGCCACGTTACAGTTTCCTTTGTTCTAATTGGTAGCTTTTATTACTTCGGTTCGGGATTTACAACACGAAGTCGAGATGCTCTCTAAATCCACTTTCACACTTTACACACAATGCACACAGCAGCAGTCAAAACCAAGTTGTCTTATGTACAACCATGCAAGCTCGTAAGTAGCGGTGTGCTCAAAACATAGTGGTAAATCAGCTGGACACCCGTAATTAAAAGAAAAAAGCTTTGGGTAAGTTTAGTCTCAAGTTTTTCCCCTTCCTTGATTTTCTTTTACAGATTCATGACTCTATGACAGCATACGTTTCTTAGGTCTTCATTTGAAATTTTGCGCGGGAAATTGGCGCGTAGGCCGTGCTCAGCAGGTTAAAATTGATCCCCATGCGCATTGCCTTACGTTTGAACGCTGTGTTACTAGCTTACTACGGCTTTAAACCGTGACAGTACCCAGCCGTTACTCGTAAATAAAAATAGTATTCGAAACTTTGACAGATGACTTAACCTGAAACAAGACTCTGACTCGATTTATGGCAACAACATTTGTTTCGGCCGAAAATTAAACACAATAACCCCAAATCATACCTTTGAAGTCTGGGCAGACCACCGTAATTTCTGAATATTTCATCAGCCTATAAAGACAAGAGGTAATAGATAACAACAGTCTACATTCCATTCCAAAACTTAACTTACTACAAGTAGTGCAAAAGAAATCAATGGAAGTTTTAGAAAATTGGCAACTTACAGCTTTGACGTTGATCCTCTTGGCATTAAGCACTTGATTTGGATGAAGTCTGGCGTAATAAAAACAAAGCAACAAGTCAAGGCATAAAATCAATTAACTAAACGCACTTTTCCATTGAGTGGGGTAAAATCGAAACTAGAGAAATCAAAACAGCCAATTAGAACAAAGGAGATGTTCTTAAGGAGCCAATGAAATATCAAATTGTCTGGAGGGCGGGAAAGCGAGAGCGACCACGCCGCGCTTGATTTCATACTTGCATCTGATTGGTCAAGGGAGCGGCGCGATTTTTTTGGACCAATCATAGAGCAAAGTAAAGCAAAACCAGCATCATCCTGGATCGACATCCTCGACAATTCATAGAAAACTTCTTCATTCAAAGTTCCCATGCAAAGGAGTGCTGTTTTAAGAAAAGAAATAAAAAAGGTGATTGCATACTTCATATACTACACTGTACGACTTACTTTCCATGAGAACAGAGCAAAGAGGAGTTGTCCACTGGCGGTGTCTCAGTTTTTTCATTCATCCAGTCCTTCAGCCATTTGGTAGAAATCCATTCATAATCTTCATCTGAGAGGCGATGAAAATGCATCAATGAACGTTTAAGCGATAGACCACATTTATTTTTAACGAGTCATTCATAAACGTAGTCAATACCGCTATTTTCTGTAATTTTCTTAAACCTAAGAGTGACTCTAATCTGATTAAAGCAATTATGCGGGATTTGGTTTATTTCGCGATACTCAATTGAGATGCGGTTTAAAACACTTTTCGATTAAGTATCGTAAAGGCGCAACCCAAGTAATCACAGGGACATAAGAACGGGAAATCCCCTTAAAAACAATGAAAACAAAGCAAAAACAAGCCAACTGCTTAAAGCGCGGGAAAATGCACGTGACCAAGTCGTGAATTGGTTCAGTCTTGCATTTGATTGGTTGAGAGAGTGGCGGATTACTACCAACACTAAATTAAAAACTGCTCTATCAAAATTAAAGTAATCAAAATGACAAATAAGTACAACGGACACCTTTAAAAGAAGCCAGTGAAAACCTGAAGAGAACACAGAAAGCCTTAAAACGGGAGTGACCGAATCGTGATCGGATCGAGTTTAACGTCTGATTGGTTGACGGGGCAAAGCAAGTTTTTTTAAAAGCAAATCACTGAGCGGTGAGACAGAAAGCCAAAGAAGTCGAGTATTTTGTCGCGCTACACAATACTGTAGGTCAAATGTTATTTTGGATAAAAATGCTTCCTACCTGAAGATATCGGCATTTCAAAATAAAGTCTCTTTATTTCAGCTTGTCTTTGCTGTCCTTTGGCAATCGACTTTTCCTAAAGAAAAATGTTTTTAAGTTATTTACGGTGAGATTCTTTGGAATGAAATAGAGTAGCTATGAGCTTTGCAATGTAATAGAGTGCAATTCGATTGAATGACATAAAACCAAAACCAATGTAATCACAACCAAAAGCGCGGGAAAACGGCTGCGACTAAGTCACGATTGGTTTCAGTTTTGAATCTGATTGGTTGAAAGGGTGGCGCGAGTTTTCTGGACCAATCACGGAGCGAAATGAAGCAAACCAAAGCAATTGGTTATATCAACTAAGTTGAAATAGTAAATTGGCCACCGTAACGAATAAGAAAGCTAACGTTTCGAGCGTTAACCCTTCGCTCTGACGACGCAGCACCACAGTTTCTTTAGAAACTTTCAGCCCTTAAACCAAAGCAATCCCTATTCCAATCCTTATTCGCTCTGACGATGGTCTTACGCTCGAAACGTCAGCTTTGAAACCCTTTACGGATAATTTACTTTATCAACTCAGTTGATTAAGCCAAAATTACACAGCAATGCTAAAATTACTTTCGACACTCAATTGAAAATTGCTCTTTCTTTGTTTAGTACATATGTAACAACAGCTTCTCCAGGCCTAAACGAGAACAGAAAAACTGAAAAGTAGCTCTGACCTATAATTGGACAATATATGTAGATAATATTGACTTACACGNCTCTTCCCTCCACACTGGAAGACAATTTCAATGTTGCATAGCGATAAACCTTTTATACAAAGATTGTCCTAAGTTTATATGGAATTAGTATAATTTCAGAGCTGAGCAAAGAGTTTCCAGCAATCTGATTGGTCGAGCGGTTCCTTATATGACGCTATATAAACCGCTCCACGCGGTTTATATAACATGTTAAAATAAAAAGTTAATAAATGTTACAAAAATGTTATGATTTTAGAAATTTCTCTGTTGTTCAGCTCTGAAATTATACTAAAACAATTATTTGCCGAAGGCAAGGTGAATATCGTCGAATAATCCTCGACACGTAGTCGAGGGGATTATTCGACAATATTCACCGAACCTGAGGCGAATAATTGTTAAAGATAAAATAAAAAATCTCAGTAAGAATTTCACCCAAACTTAATGTTTTGCCAAAATTTTACAAATCAGTTCCATAAAATGCATAATTAAAACCTGACTAACACCTTCTTGACTAGTAACCAAAACTCTGAAAACCTCTGAACTTCAATCAAGTAAAGATCTACTTTTAACACCAGTTGCAAAAGAAGCAGTATCTTACCTGCACCTTTATGCCCTTTCAAAGTGTACACCAGAGTGTACGCATTTTTTGACACATGAAATCCTTGAGCACATTTTGGCCTTTTGGCAGGCTTGGGACTGGTGTCTGATAAGAAGACGAAAAATAAATTATATTAAACAAACAAACAAAAGATCAAAGACAATTAAAGCTACCGGTGGGTTAGAATGTTTAGTACATGTTTGGTACTTCCCCAATTTATTATTATAAACAAGGGAATTTAAAATTCTGTGTATCTAAAAAAGTAAAACATGATGCTTGGAGATCAATTTGATTACAAATAAATTGTTAAGATGAAACAATTTTTAGTGAGATAGAAAATATCCGAGCCCCAGATGGGACTTGAACACACGACCCTCCGTAAACTAGTCGGATGCTCTAACCACTGAGCTACTGTTAACCCTTTAAATCCCTAAGATCTGATTGTTAATTCGCCTCTCTAGCTGCCACACATTTCCTTGGAAATTTGTTACGAGCACATGGTGTTAGATTGAGATAACAACTTCTATCTGAAAAGTTTGAGCATTCTTGTCACCTATTGGCTAAATAATGCATGCCTATCATGGGGAGAAGTTACAAATTGATCACTTCTAAAGGTTAGAGGTTTAAATGACGAAAATCACAGCAAAATAAGGGAATAACTTGGGCAAACAGCATCTCATTTTGAAGGAAACTGACCTGTGCTGAAGAAAAACAAGAGAAAACCCTCCTGTTCAGTTGTCTCTTGTAGTTATAAAGAACAATAAAAGAACAAAAACCTTCATTAATGTTGTTACTCGCCTGTTGAGTCCTCATCCTGAGAAAGCTTCAACTTTCCTTGCATCTTGACAATGTCTTCATCATTAAACTTGTACCATGACCCAGACTATTGATACAATAATATTGTATTTTATATAAAATAAGGAAAAGCAACCGGCTAAACACAAACCTGTAATCTGCCGTCTTTACCTCACCCTCCTGTCCCATGCATAGCAGTATTGGTGCAATGCAATTATCAACAGTAATGCCTGTTCTTGAGATCACAGCACTTCGCAGGACAGTTTTTGAATATAGGATAATTTGCAGGTGGCAAGCAGGCTGGCAAGGCACTGCAACACAAGCATGCATGCAAAGCAAGCATGCATGCAAAGCAAGCATGCAAGAGGTCTGCAAGGTGCCTGGTAGACCACTCACTGACCTTGTTCATGGTCACTTCACTCACTGTCTAAATTCTTGATATCTTTGGCGCTCATGCCGCAGTGCTACATTAAGATGAGTTCTAAAGGACCTACAAACCTTCTTGTCTCTGATGTGAGCTACATATTGCCCTGAATATGCACTGACTCCAAAATGCATCAAAACTGCACTCAGCTCATACTCAAGGTTGGACCCTATCAATGGAATAACAACAAATATACATCTAATAACTGTAGAAGTTAAAAAAAAAATTCTTAAAAATGTGCTTCAAGTTACCGTACTTACCAAAGCCTCCATTCTTGACATGTTCTGTCATATCAAGATTATCTGGAAACTGAATGAATGAGTTCAGTTTCTTTTTGTATCCTGTTTTCCTGTATAAGAAAAATAATACTGATGAATGAAAACAGGTCTTCAGGGTAGGAGGGGTGGATGAAAAATGAGGGGGTGGGAGAAGGGAGGAAGGGTAGAATGATCCTCACTACTCCTAACTGAAGAATGGCTGCTAGGAGTAAACCAGTGACAGCAACTTGCTTCATCTTGGTTGGGTTCCTGTTTGCAATCAACTCACTTTTATCTGTTTTAAACTGTGGTGCCATTCACGTCAAAAGTTCACAACTTACTGTCCGCCCCTCAAAGCTCACTCCTCTCCCCCAATCATGTCATTTGGCCTTTAGCCCTTTGACCTTTGACCCAGAAGCGATTAGCATCTAATTTCTTTCCACAACATCACCCTGAATCAAACACTTAAGTCACCATAGTAAAAGAACCGATCAGCACCTAAAGAAGCTCTTGACTGTTCGAAAAAAGTTCTTGTAGTCTGCACTCTTGGAAATGTATACAGGGGCAGATCCAGGAATTTTTGATTAGGGGTGTCCAAACTTTGGTTCAGGAAGGACTGTTGGACTCTTAAGGCAAATTACTTCTCCCCCACACCCCCTCCCACCAGTTGCAGTTGCACGTTAAAATTCCTTGGCTGCTTACCGTTTACTTGGATTCATTAAACAAATCAGCCAGTTAAAAAGTGATATACAATTCTGTCGATGCAAGAATTTCAGTCTCAAAGTTGTAAGCGTCAGGTCTGATAGGGGGGTCCAGATCCCCCAGACCCTCCCCCTGGATCTGCCACTGGTATAGAGAACAGTATTTCTTCAGTTTCTTTCCCTCTCACTACAATATTAACCTCACCTGTCAAAGACAAATCTCAACAGCTGCAAATTGAGCACAGGAGGAAGGGAGTCTAGTTCAATGTAACGAGCTGCATTCTGTTTGCTATTACACTGAGTGCAATAGTACTGATTGTCACCATCCAACTTTTCTTCCTGTTTAGAAAGAGAATTTCACTTGACTTGCGATGGGATATATCAGACAAAGCAATGACAAAAGCAATTTTATTCATCCATTTGCGATATTTAGACAGGATGGCCCAGTTCAGATCAAAGCTGGTTTAAATGAGGGCCTGTTTAAACAATAACAAGGCCAGGCCATGATACTAGGGGGCTATGTTCCCTGTTCTTTGCAGGAAATGCCTGGGTTCTTTAACATCCCCTGCTAACTAGTGCAGAGAATAAGCAAGAGATGGGGCTTATGGTTAATCATCCATTCCTTATTCCAAAAGACTAGAATTTCTAACCATTTGCAGATGTCATAGCAGAGGCAGCATGTTCTCCTTAATTATTATAAGGGCTTTGGTGTTGTTCCACTCTGAGGCTTAAACCCTTGCCCTCCTACATGGCAATACCACACTCTACAACACAAGTTAACCAAGCAAAACAACAAATATGCAGGTCCTACAACACCTTTAAAAACTCCTTGATACACTGGTTCAATGAGGAGTGGCCTTGGATGTTAAGGTCCAGTTCATAAAAGCGAGAGAGCCTCTTGGATTTGTTTCCACACTTCAAACATCTGAAAAATAACATTTTAATTTGCAGCCATAAATTTTCAGAATATTCATGTTAAGATCTTAGAAAAAAAAAACATATTAATATTCCAAATATGTTGTGCTTACTCTGTGACATAGAAGTAGTCCCCTCTGAACTGAGACTGAACAATATTCTGCACCTCAGGCTCAGCCTGCAAGACAAATACATATGATGCATCTACCAACAATTGTGTCTTTTTTCGAGTAAATGAAATACCATCTGATTCCATAGTATGAGTGGGAGACATGGGGCCCCAACAATTAGTGCTGTACTCCAGGTTGAGAGGTCAGGGTTCAAGACCTGCCTTGGTCATTGTGTTCTGGGGCAAAATACTTTCCTTCCACACAGTCTCTCTCTGCTTGACTATAATTAAAGCCTGTTTACGAGTCGAGCCGCCAATCAGGCCAGCGCTTAACTCCGGTTTCCACAGCATGAAGCGACTAAAAGTATTTCTACTCCCCCCTGGATGGGACGCTGGTCCTTCCCAGGGTTATCCCCCCCCAGCATTAAATTTGCCAGTACCCAATTAAACACCTGGGTGAAGAGAGGCACTGTGAGAGTTGTCTTGCCCAAGAACACAACAGAATTTTTCCAGCTAGGGCTCAAACCCGGACCACTTGATCAGGAGTCAAGTGTACCACCCATGAGGCCACTGCACCAACAGGAATATAAATGGGTAACGACTAATTGTCAGAAGGGGAAACCTGATGAAGTGGTGGGGGGTAAACTTGTGATATGGAAATATCCCATCTAGGGGGGAGAAGTAATACTCCTAGTCGCTTCACTCTATGAAAATCATAATTTTTAATTGGGGAGCAGGGATGGCGCAGTGGTGAGAGCACTTGCCTCCCACCACTGTGGCCTGGGTTCGATTCCCGGACCTGGTGTCACATGTGGGTTGAGTTTGTTGTTGGTTTTTCTCCCTCCACAAAAACTAACATTCCAATTTGATCTGGAAACAGTGGACAAGAAGAGCCACCCAGTGGAATGTCCATTGCTAAATTATTTATTATTATTTATTAGTTATTATTTATCAGAATAATCTCTCGCTGGATAGGACACTTGGCTTGAGCCAAGATATAACCTTTCTCTATGGTTTGAATTGTAAGATAAAATCACACCTCTCAACAGGAGTCATTTTAGGAACAGAAGAATTTACTAATTGTAGAGAGGCGACTGCAAGTGCATGCTTGACTGTAATCATTTCTATCACAAACCACATGTAAACAATCTTAGTACACCAACCTGATTTGAGAAAGTTTCTTCAAGTAATGAAGTAAATAGCTTGCTAAATTCTTGAGCATCCTAGAACACATGCACACACAAAAAAATTCTCAGCAACCCACTATAATAAGAACAAAATATGCAACATGACATTTTCTGAAATATTAGTTTCAACACCTTTATGTTGTACTATCAACCTTTTGACCACTAAGAGCGACTGCCATCTAATTTCTCCTTAATAGAATCAGAACTGAATCAAAGAATAAGGTCATGAGGACAAAGAAAATGATCACTTGCTAAAGAAGCTGTTGATTCTTTGACAAATTCTCCTTGTTAATACAACAGGAAATGTGTAAAGAAAAGTGTGTAGATTATGGACCAAGACATTTTTATCTGTTCAATGCCACCAAAATATAAAAATACCTGCTGTTGTGCTGTGTCAAGTCCTAAACTGTCAACAAATGGACTTGGATCAATGTATCTACAGATCAAAATAATTTCAGTTTATTGAAATTTCCCTGACCACTTTTATTTGTTAAATTTTACATGGTTACCAAGGTTGCTTCTCTATGAGGTTGCTTCTCTATGAGCAACCTATCACAAGTTTTGTTGTTTTAGTTTATTCAACAAAACAAAAGGTTTTGCTAACCTCTCAAATAACAAAAGATGTCAAAACCAAGCCCTTACAAAAAACACTTCTGGACAATATTTTTCTATAAATTTGAAGACTACTGATATACTAAAATTCAGGCACTTAAAAGTAAAAAAAGAAAAAAACAGTTTATGAATATTTTCCATGAAGCATGGTTTCCCACCAAGCTATTCACTAATTATAACAAACATCTAGAAATTTGGAAAAAAATCTACATCTCATATGTCTAGTCTGGGTATATAACTCATTCTCTAGAACTCCTATGAGTGACCAATACAGAATTTCTCCTTACAATATCAAGCTGAAAAGTGATGAGATGGGGATTATTGTTTGATCAAATTTTCCAAACCAACATCAGAATAATTGTATAGCAGAAAGTGATGAGAATTGCTGGTAAGATCTGAGAGTGAAAGATTTAATCAATAACAGCCCAAAATTTACTGTTTACCTTCGAAAACTGTACTGCAACTGAGCAAACAACAGCTGAAGATGTCCACAAACAGTTGTTGGTGCTTCATCGGAGTCCAGTATGGTTGTAGAGGGAAGTAACGGAGCCTGCTGGACAGTGGACACCTTACTGGGAGTTGTTCGCACACCAAGAGATTTATCCAGGGATTCCCTATTCTCACTGCTGCCATGACTAAATTCAGAAGAATCTTTGGAAGGTTTATTTGAGGTTTCACCATTATGACTGCTATGATTAGTCACCTCAGGGTGTTCTGGGCTGCTTTGTATAGCTTCTGATGTTGACAAACCATTTACAGCTGACAATTTGGAAAGATTAGCGTGTGAACATTAAGGATAAGAACATTTCTAAACATATGGAAGACATGGTGGTCCAGTAGTTAAGGCACTGGCCCTGGTTGTTCAAAGCTTGGATGACACTACAGTCAAACTTCAATTATCCGGACCTCGATTATCCGGACCTTGATTATCTGGACCTCAATTATCCGCACCTCGATTAACCGGATTTCTCGATTATCCGGATTTCTCGATTATCCGGACTAGCTTTTCTGGTCCCCTTTTTTCATGAATATTAATTAGTCACATTTATTATCCCTAGGAAAGCTATCATATGCTGAACTGAGTTATAAAATTTCAGTCAGAACTGAATTTTTTTCGCATCAAAAGACAATTTTGGGCAAGGTTATTGCCCAAGTGATCTTAAACACGCCTAACACGCACAGTAGTAAATTGTAGTCAGAAATGGGTTGTGGTTATGGTTCATCCTTGCATGATTCTCAATTAAATGTTACGGTTTACAAGTGTATTCAGTGTTGACTCATTAATATTCATATTTTCGATTATCTGGACTCTCGATTATCTGGACTATTCGGGCCAGTCCCCAGTGCTCCGAATAATCAAGGTTCGACTGTATCTACATCTACATCTACATTAAAATAAGTTGGTAAAGTTGTTAGATGTCACACCAACGTTAAAAATACAAAAAGTGTAAATAACAACAATAGAAATAATATCTACCAGTTTCAAGTTTCTCGTTAAAATACTTGGGAATCTTAGTTTTAAAAGTCTCTAAAGAGATGCTTTCAACAATATCTTTCAGAAGTTAAAATAAGAACTTACAGGGCAATATTGTGAAAAACAGTCTCCTACAGAACAAGCATGGGGCAGCAAAAAAATAATCAGTTTCCTGTGAGGAATCAGACCTTTTTATCTATTTATTTTATTTATTTAACAATTTGCCAAAGGCAGGTAAATTTATAGTAGGACAAGGGTGTCCCCCACTAGGTAAACTGCCTTACCCTATCCCCTGAAAGCAGACAAAATTGAGTAAGTTCTTATTATTAACAACACTCAATTTTAACAACGCTCATTTTTAACAACGCTCATTTTTAACAACGCTCATTTTTAACAACGCTCATTATTAACGCTCGTTTTTAACAACGCTCACTTTTAACAATGCTCATTTTCAACAACGCTCATTTTTAACAACACTTATTTTTAACAACACTTATTTTTAACAATGCAACGACACTATGCAGTGGATATTAAGTCTTTATCCAGTGGATAGCACAGTATGTTTTGCTATCACTTATCCACTAAAGGGCGATTTATCTGTTGTATGGTGGATCCGCCCTTTATAAAACTGGGGTGTGGACTCTGGGTCGAGAGATCCTGGAACAAGATCTCGCTGTGTCATTGTGGTTTGTTCTTTGATGAGACACTATCCTCTTCCAGTGCCTCTCTCAACTCAAGAGTACAACTGAAAACTGGTGACCCATCATTAATCAGGGAGACCAGAGAGGTGTAACAATATGCTACAGGAACTGTGATAGACTTGGGCTGGATGAATCACTTAGCTTGAAAACAGGCTGTATATCTTTCACTTACATGAACAAAGGAAAAATTTTTGTAAATGAACAGATGTCATTTTTTTTTTGCTTATAAGTGGGTTGGGTTTCAATTTTGTCTGCTTTTAAGGGATAGGTAATTTACCTAGTGGGGGACAACCTTGTCCTACTATAAATTTACCTGCCTTTGGCAAATTGTTAAATATTAAATAGAATAAATAAATAAATAAAGAGGTCTGATTCCTCACAGGAAACTGATTTTTTTTTTTGCTGCCCCATGCTTGTTCTGTAGGAGACTGTTTTTCACAATATTGCCCAGCAAGTTCTTATTTTAAAAACGCAACAAGCACTACATAACAACACAAACAGACAATTTAGAAGATCCAAAAAGAAAACTCCTTTAAAGCTGCTGAGGCCTGATGAGAGCATGTGGTATGACATAACAAGAAAACTCTTGCCTTATGGTTACTGTGCTGGACTAAAGAACAGAGTGGTGTGTTCAAGAGCCAGCCAGGTCACTCTGTTACTGTGATTTGTTTTTGGGTAAGATGCTCATAGTGCCTCCTGCCAACAAGGAGTTACCACCAAATTCTTAAGGAAGCCTGATAAACTGCTAGTGAGTAACCTCTGTGATACACTGGCATCCCATTCAGAGGAGAATTATGATACACCTAGTCACTCCATGTAAAGATGGGCAGATACCAATACCTAAAAGTATTGGACAGGTGCTTTTGATACTGAGCGTGACCTGCCCACGCTTTATCTCACACCAGGCAACAAACCACTGACAAGGAGCTGAAAAGACTCTGGGCTTGAGAATGGGCAATGACCACCACAGTCTACCCAGTCTTGGTGGCCTGTGACTGATCCAAGAGTGAACTCTTTGACAACTATGAGTTTGGACTTAAGTATGTCCTTAATCCAATATTAAATTTTCCACTGCCTCATTGACTCTTCTCTAAAGTACAGAACACTGCATAAGTGTAAGATAGCTCTATATTTCGTCAATCAAACCCCATGACTTACCCGGCATTTAACACAATGACGTTACAGTATCAGTATTAATATTGAATATTGATATTGAAGAAAAAAGTCAGTGTTAAACTGGGTATCATATTGACTTGGAAAATTGGGATTGGCCCATCCTTAACTTCATGCTAAGAAACCAGGACAAGTTCTGGCTGAATCGGCCACTTGACTTGACTACAGACTATGCTCATTCGAAGTGTCAAACATTTTCCTCTAATACCAGTAATTCTCACCTTTTTAGACCTTGCCTTCTTGTCTTACACTCATGGGAGAGATGTACTTGTACATAGCTGATCGAAATACTGGATTATGAAACCAAACCTGTGGTAGAATAAAAATAGTCCTCATACACAATGACATTCTTCTTTTTTTTCTTGTCAGCTGTGAACAAACTGTCTTACCTGTAAAAATGTATTGACATAACATGTAGCTCCAAGGTTCTTGAGCCCAACAAAAGCATTCTGAAAAGCCAAATGCGAGAAAATGAAAAATCAAATGAGGTGATAGACTGGTCCATACAACAGCCAAATTAGGACAAGCATTCAATTCAGTTTTATTTTCATTAAATGTTCGTCAAAAGACAAGTAAATTCCAAAATTAAGATACTGTATTTGTTCAATTAAGTGCCAAGGTAATTATCAAAATTATGGACCTTGAGAGTGAGTGATTATTATTCGAGATGAGCAATTACTAAATTTTCACCATTTTTCTACAACCTCGGACAAAACCTGTTGAGACACATTACAGAAATACCTATTTTTTGCACTCACCCTGACAAAAATGCTTCCCGTCGCAAATTCAAAGATTGTTTCACCCCTCCCCTATTGCAATGTTGTTTGTGGTAACACAAGAAATGCATGCTTGAGCTGTTGAGCCCCAACAACATTGTACCAGGGGTGGGGAGGGGGGCAAGTTAGTTCGTTTTGGAAACGATTGTTGCATGGCCGGAAATTAAAAGTTGCATTGAAATGTCTCAACAGTTTTGTCTGGGGTTGTAGGTTTATTTTACTACAAAACAATGGATAACAACAAAACGTAAAGATGTACTACAGAGAGTGAATTTAGAGATTTTAACCCCTTCTGTTTTTGAGGGGCAGGGGAGGGTACCAGTAGGTACGTATTCAAGCTTAGGTACTATATCCAGTGCTTTCAATAAGACCTGGCACCCGCCGGAGCTCCGGCGGCTATTCTGTTGCAAGTCGCCGGTTATATTTCACTGCGCTCAAGTTGCAGTCGCCACGCTAAGTCGCAATCAAGTCGCTCTCCGGTGGGTGTTGTACCGAGGTAGCCACCTATTTCAAATCTTATTGAAAGCACTGATATCAAATAAATATGATATCATGATCATTTTGCACCTCTGGTCGTCTTTCATTTTCAGGGTCTTCACAATTTAACCAGTAACTATCTGAAAAGCAATCAATATAAATTGAGAGTTGTTATTGTGAAATACAAATTTGCAGTCTCCTATGAAAACATTTTGCAGCACAGTTTACTTATTACATATCTATCAGATCAGCTTTTATTTTTCAGAGCCTCTGTCATGACTTATAAATGCATGAACCATCTTGCCCCTAGTTACTTGAGTTGTAAGTTTGTTAAGAGATCGGACATTCATAATCGTAGGACACGAAATCGTGAAGCTCTACTGATTCCATTCTTTAGCTCAGCGTCTGGTCAGTGGTCCTTTGACTTAAGAGTGGAGATGCTCTGGAACAATCTCTCCCCTGAATTAAGACAGTGTGCCTCCCTAATGGCATTTAAGGAGAAAGTTAAGAGTCACAATCTTGCAAACAGTTATTAGTTAAGTTTTGATATTAATTAGTTATATTAATGTAAACAGTCATTAGTTTTGGATATTATTAATCTGATGAAGGTATGTAAATAGATGCTGAAAAGCCCCTAGGGCAGTATCTATTAAAGTTTTCTATCATTTAATATTCTTATTAGTTAATACCTTTAATTTCGCTGAGCCAAAATCTTTCCCCAAGGCAATTGAAACAGTTTGGATTTGCTTTGCAGTTCCTCCTGTGAAATATACAATAATTTTTGTTGAAAGCCTTGATACAGCTATATTCAAATACAATTTTCAATTGAAAATGAAATCTTGAAGGTTTTCTACTACAAGCTGATTGGTAACTGTGCATTGCAGAAGGAACCTTAAATG